ACACGGCCGCCGCAAAGTCACGCTCCACAGATCGTGTTTGCCGTCTGCCGTCTTCATGTCTTATCTGTGCAGACCAGTCCCGCTGACCGTGTCAAAACAGGTAACATTATATTAAAATATCATACAACGTAAGTCACCCCAGAGATCTTTATAGGTAAAAAACACTGTAAAATACCAGTTAATAAACACATACTATTTATGCTGCCTTACATGCTTGTAAACGTGCATAGTGGAAAGGAAAAACAACTGCTACTGAATTTAATCACTCATTTACAGGTAAGATGTAATATAACTACATGGTATGCATACCTATATACATTCCATCCATCCAAGCTCCTGGTCAGGGTTGAGGAAAAGACTACACCTGTTTAGTAATTACAAACTGTCTGTGTTAAGTGTGTTTCTCTGTCACCAGAGAGTGCTCTTCAGGATCAAAAATAGCAATTCATCTTTTCCCAACCACTGGCCAAAAAGACCTTTGTGGAAAGTCAAGGGAGAAATTAGGCTGTCATCCGTAATTATGCCATTAATATGACATCTGTGTGATGTAATCCATAAAATGAATTACATTTCTCTGGGGCACAAACACCTACAAAGTGTTCAAACTACATTAATAGCCCAAAAACACAATATACAGGCAAACACAAGTTAACGTGTCTTCGGTGATGGTAAAAGATTAAATATCCTGATAAGATTAATGACTCTCTGCAGCTTTTAGACTGTTAATGGTCCCCCATAAAACTGTTCGGTTTAAGTCTTTGTCGATTCTGGAATGTTTGTTTCTTAGATGTCATATAAGTTAGCCTGGGAAATTAACTGGAATAAAGTGCAGCTTTGTTCACCATAAAAAATTACATTAAATGTGTATTTTCTTCAGTTCTTTTTATAAAACCAAACAGAATATGCTGAACCCTAATTTTGTACTGTGTGATAACAGTGGGTATGTTTTTTATGAAATCATGTAGACTCTCCAGACAGGTAACAAATTCTTAGGCAAAGATAAAGAGTAAATACAATTCTGACCTGCTCCCAAAATGCACTGAGGTTCCACTCTCTATCCTTCCTCTGTTTTTCCAAATAAGGGCATTGCAGTTGTGTGGCTATTGCTCGCTGTCTGAAGCAGCAGGCAAAGATAAACGAATAAAAAGCAGCTTGCATTTGCTATTCCATCTGTGGTATCTTCCCTGCAGGCAACACATTCCTCAACAATAAGCACTTTTGGAAGCTCGTACTCGATTGTCTTAAATTACAGAATGTTGTAAATTAATGTTTTTTTTCCATAAGTTCACCAAAATCTTGCAAACAAAAGTCACTGGAATACAGATAATGTGCATTTGCGACTCCTGAAGGAGGATAATCGGTTACAATTGAATCATACCAGGAAGCATCTGGGAGAGCAAACAGATGGAGGAGGCATTAACCTATTTTGCCAGCAGGGGGAGACAGAGGGGAAGATGAAATCCTATTATAAGGTAGGAGGCCCACGAGGATCTGACCTGCAACGGCACTAAAGCCGGCCAAATTGATGTCATCAGCCACTATACTTATTGTCTCTGGAGAATTTTCACGACCCGCCCTTTGAGCAGTAATTTGTTGGGTTTTCCCAAAATTTCTGCCAAGGGAGCAGTCTTTGTAAATGATCAGCTGGGGAAATGATCATTTCTCCTTAACTCCGCTACACACACTTAGGGTCTACACAGCCAGTTAATAAAGGATTTAATCTGGCAAAACATAACCAGAGAACATAGAAAGTGAGGAAAAGTGTGGAGGGGAAAACCTCTTGATATACAGACTTGGGAAGAAAAGCAACTATTGAGGCTTTCTCCTGCAACTTTTACCATCTATTACTGTTTGTTTCTCTATATTCACATTTTATGATTTTTTTATTCCTTGGTGGATTACTTAATCATAGGATAAATAAGCAATTAATCAATGGCATGAATCTTAAAGTGACAACAGAGGCCCTTTGTAGTAACTTGCGGTTTTTTCCACATCAACAGAGGTAGTTTTTGGCACAGATCTCTTTGTCGATTTAAATTACATATATTCTAGGCGCAGTGAAGTCACTCCACTGAAGCAGCTCAAATTTCTCTTGCGAAAACTGTGAAAACCATTCCAGTTTAAAAAAAAAAACCTATTTGACAAAAAGCTCACCACTAAATCAAGCAACATCACAAAAAATGATACACATCAGAAAAGATGACAGCCACACCCTTGGCTGCGTCCTCATTTATAATTTCCTCCCTCTGGTAACTTGTAGTACATGACCGGTATTTTATGTTTCTTTACCATTTGTAGGGTTATTTATCTGTATTAATTTACCCTCCGGCATGGGAATCGAAGTGCACAAAAGCATCTGACTCCCTGTGGTCCAATCTGTCTGTCTGTCTGTCTGTCTGCCTGTTTGTTTTAAATTAATGCAATTATACTTTGGGTATTAGTGCCTTTAAAATATGCAAGGAAAACAACAATAAATAAAGAGGTAATTAAAAAATGGTAATAATTGTTTCTACTTTTCCAGTGTAGATTATGGCAAATGGGTTTCAAACTGTTCTCTCATGATAATATCTAGCCAAAACAACTTGGAGCTATGGGTTCTAAGAGAAGAGATTATCCCACAAAGCTTCTGAGTCTTACACCAGCTATTAATACCCTCCATGCCACCTCCTCGCTTATCATGCTGTAAATGGGGAATGGGGGGGGGGCAACCATATCCCAACGGTCAGATCATGTAGCTCCGAACCTATGCCAAAAGCACACAAAATATACACGTCCTCAATAAATGTAGCTGCTCCGTGGTGAAAATGCTGTTTACCATTTTCAATTGTGATGAGAATGAAAAAGCAGACTTCAGCTTTACACGTTTCCAGCCTTTGCGGGGTTTTGCTTAATTCTGAAACATGCTGATTTAAATTTGCGAAAGAGCAGCTGAGCTAAATTAAAGTGGGAAACAACAATAATATGTGCTAAGTAATGAGTGAACAACAGCTCTAATTTAAAACAACAAAAGAAAACCCGGAGTCACAAACGAAGGCTTTAAGTCTAATCCTAATTAATCAAAGCACCACTGAAATGGCTCGAGCATGGAGGGTCAACATTACCCCTCTAATACAAACTATGTGCCGTAATTTAATTAACTCATTCCAAAGTTTGCTTGTAAATATCGAGTCACAGCTCTCTGAGCAGGCGCTCACAGCGTCTCTGTTCCTTTAAGAGTGCACGGGCGCCTTGCATTTGCAGTTCTGCTTGACAGGGTAGCGTTCCGGTGTAAAACGTGATGCAGGGCTGAGAGCACTATCAGGCAAAAGGCTGCAACATGCATATCAAGTTAGATTTAAAAGTGAAAATCCTGCTTTATATATCAGATGACTAGGCATGGGAGTAAAACGCGGCTGTTAAAACATGTGTTGCTGTTGCAGTAGATTTACATAAATCCTATGCTTTACTTACATCATAATATTTTATTCATTTGTACTAATCCAGTTAACCATGTTAGGATGTTTTGCTTATTCTTTGAATATAATTGATCCGGTTGATGGTGTAGGTTTTCCGATGAGGGCTGGAAAATGAAACACCCCATTTCCAGGACATCCTACATCTCCCTGAAGTTCCGGGACTCTCCCACAAATTGCCAGCAGGTCTCTGACACCCGTGAATGATGCACAATGTCCCAGAAATCTGTTGTTCTGCTATTCAGCCAGCGAGTCATTTTACTCTCACCGCTCTGCCTCACCGTCAGGGTTGGTGCCCGTCTGGCCCTGTGCCGTGTGCTTTTTCCCCATTCGGCCTGCTTCTCCCACTGGCCACCGCGTTGTGCTACCCTAGTGTGTTACCCACTGCCCAGGCTGTCACGCGGCTGAATGGATGGTGTGTGTAGCGCAGAGGCAGGTACACCTTCTGCCATGAGTTTGAGGCTGGCCTGAGGCCTCACCTTTGTTTAATGTTGTTTTTATTTTATCCCCTGGTGTCTAGAAATGTTAATATGTCTTTGCTTTTCATTACCCTGCCCGGGCCTTATTAAGTTCTGTTTTACTTGTGTTCCTTGATCTCTCCTAGTATTGATAGCCCTCAGTGTTTGTTCGCGTTTCCTAGTCTAGTGCCTGTTAATTGTAATTTACCCCAAATGTGATTTGATTATGGTTCTCACCTGTCCTGCGTTGTGTCTTGTTAGTAGTGTATTTAAGCGCCTGTTCTTGTTCTGTTCCTCAGAGGTTTATTGTGGCTGTTTGCTTGTGTTGCTTGTACCCCTGTGCTAGTTGTTGTACCTTCCTTTGTTCCTATCTGCCTTTAGTATTTAGTTCCTGGTGTTGCTCCCTGTTTTGTTTTGACCCCGCATGGTCCCTTTGTTTACTGATTGTCCCTTTGTGTCTTTTTTGTCAATAAAACTCTGTTTTGTTGGCACTGCTACGTAGATCGTCTCTCCCTCATCATGGCTGCCATAACATCCACTCTGCACTCAGCTTGGGTGGGAACCAATTCCATCATACCATTGAACTCAATATGCCTCAACAAAAGGTGTATAAGGTGAGATGTCTGCATTACTGACACGGTAACGTAAGAATCAGGGAGACGGCCTATTAAAAAAAACAAGCTCAAAACTGAAAGAAACTTGCAAACTCAACAACAACAAAAAAAACTTAAAACTGGACCTCGCAAAACCTGTGAAGAGTAGCCATCACCAGTGAAGCACACCTCATCCTCAGAGCAGACTCTGTAATCCACCAGGCTGACCTGATTTATCCCCAATAATCTGTATCCCTCCTTTTAAGGACAGCTAGACCCTCCTGAGCGGCTCCTGTTTTGGATCATCACAAGAGCCCCGCCCCTTGCCATTGCCCTGCGTCCCATTGGTCATAGCGTAAACACACGCTCAATAGCCCCGCCCCTTGCCATTGCCCTGCGTCCCATTGGTCATAGCGTAAACACACGCTCAATAGGGCTTTTCTGCCAGCAAAGAAGGAGAAACCGCAACAAGAGACATAATAAGATATTGAACTCACTGTCTCCTTGACAACGTAAAGGACCCACGGTTAGCTTTGCCTCAGAGCCTGGTCGGTTTGTATCTCCGATAGCCACCTGGTTGACTGGTAAATGCTCTTTATACACCAGGAGTCCAGAATCTTCTCTCCTACAGGAAAACAGGAAAATAAAGAAATAATAAACAGATATGATGAACAGATATGACATATCACTGTGTAATTATCTGAATTGCAAACTCAGGTTATTTTTAAACAGTACTGGGTAGATCTGGCTTCTTTGCTCTACTGTCACTCTTAAAATGTTAAATGTTTCAGCACTTCAATAAGCCAAGCATGTACAGTATCAGACTATGCACCTATGCAACTCCTAAGTCATCTTAAAAATCCACAAAGTGCATTACAAAGTACTGAAATATGGCCTCTGTGTCGGCTCCAATACGTCAAAGGTCCTAGATCTTATACTACGATTGAAATGCAGATACTTTTTTCAGCTGACTGTATCTAGCAAGCCAGTGGAATTCCTGAAAACCTTAACGCATCCTTTGTTATACCCACATATAGGTTATTAAAAACCTTTTGCTTAATCTACCTTCTCACCTGGTTTAATACTACTTTAATCAGAACTGTGCATATTGGCCATGCTACAGTTAAAATGTTTCCATGAGTTGCTGAGTTATTAAACTTCAATACAGAAAATACATCATAAATGGTTCAGGTCTGGAATGCTCTAAATAGACCTTGCTGAGTGCCAGCAGCTTTCTATGTGAAGCTAAGCAGGTTTGGGCCAGGCTAGTGCTTGGATGGGAGACTAGGAAATCTGGGTTGTTGCTGGAAGAGGTGTTGGTGTTGCCAACAGGGGAACCTATCCTGGGGTCTCTGTGGATCCCAGTGCATTGATGGGAACACTGGCCAACAAGGAAGCCCACCCTGTGGTCTATGTGAATCAAAGACAGGGACACTGTGCTGTGAAAATGGTGCTGTACTTTGGATACAGGCCTTCTGAGGGTATAAAAAGATCCCTGGTCCCCCTGTGAAAGTATAGGGGCAGACTGTGGCCCTTTTAAATCTGCCCTCCAAATCATCCCCAATATCCAACTTGTACTGTAAATTCTCTCCTGTCCCTTCACCACCTTAGCTACTGTGTGGCGAGCTTACTGGTGCAGAATGGCTGCCGTCACATCATCCAGATGGGTGCTACACAGTGCTGGTGGTTGAAGCAGCCCCCATTGGTTTGGTAAAACGCTATATAAACGTTACCTTCATTCTTTCAACTTACTGATGGCAGGGAGTAAAACAAGAACATCATAAATGAAAAATCATCTATCAATTTATTTGCTGAATATATCTTCTCAGAATATGGCATTTTTAAAACAAGGGTAAGGGGAAAAACAGTCCAGTTCTTGATTTACAAACTATGGACGGAGTAAATTGCTACTTCGCCGCCCTAGGAATTGATAGGCTATATAAACAAGGTTTATGCAGAGTGTCCAGGGCACAACGCAATTATCATGTATTTTCTGTATTGAGTGAGACAAATAATGTAATATACCCAGTTTAACGAGGCAGATGGCTGTGGACCCAAAACTGGATTTCCATTTAAATGTCAACTTCAGAAAGTTCTTTTTTATGTTCTATCATTTTTTTATGCGCAAGTTTCTCCTAGATAAAAAAAAAAGAAAAACAATTTTTGAATAACACACTAAATTACTGTGAGTTCAAGTTCTCCTTCAAATCAAATCACTTTTTTGTCTCATCATTTGACACTTGCTAAGAGCAGGTAAGGTGAGTGTCGAGCAGCAGCGACGAAGTACTGCAAATATACAGGATTGTCATAATATCCTTGCTTATCCTTATATTCTTTTGGTTGCTTCAAAAGTAGCAACAAATTTATTAATTATTTATTAACTGACCAATCTTTCACTCAGATTCAAGTGCCTCATAATTACAACATTGCTTAAGCTGGGTTCATGCTATCATAGCTGAAATAATGCTGGACAACAAAAATTAACAATGTTACACTGACAACAGATACTTGATTAATATATATGATTCTACGATGCAGCAGTCATTTCCGTTGAAAAAAAAAACTCAACACACGATGTATTTTTAATGTCCATTTAACAGGTTGCAGCAAGGTTATAAAACAAAAACTCTCAGTGCTTTATATCTATTATACACAACGTTTGAGCCTGCATGTGCTTATGGGGAAGCACATTTGCACGACGTAAACTTTAATGGAAAACATGACATGAATTTTAATGCGGCCGTTAAACGTTTGTCCATCTGCGCTGACAATAAACACTGCCCGCCTGAGGGTCAGTAATGCCATAGATGTTCTGGCGGTTGACGCAAACCTCTCCATTGGCCAGAATTACTGAGAAGAGAACAAGAATCCAATAAAATCAATCAATAAATTAATTCTCTGTAATGTATTCCTAAAGGACAGTTTAAGAGCTGGTTATTATGCCCATGACTGGCATGCTGAATGGGAAAAAATATCCACTAACTCAACACTGGTTGCTGTTGACTGGTTATGGTTATCCTGGAATGACAATTCAGTGTCTTTGGCTCAGCCCAGATTTCTGAATGTTAAAATATGATGTTTATCCCCTAGACGTCATTTCTAGCGAATTGTCAAGACTTGTCATTCTGGAATGTGCTATAGCCCAATACAACACATTACATCTTCTGTTGCATGCTTGATGTGAGGCCTGATATGTACTTAAAGCCCCTATCCTCTTTGTTTTTTTATTATTTCCTATTTACAAGGACTGCATGTCACTTTGCATTTTTTTGAACGAAGACGAAGAACAATAAATATTTCACCAGATAAAAAAACTAACAAAAAAAAAAAAAACTGAGCGGAGGAATGGAAAAATGAATGTGGTCTGAATCTCTCAGCCAATGGTTTCTTCACACACACTAAAAGGCATTTTGGCAGCCTGTCACAGCTGGTTAAAAATGCAGACCTTGGGTAAATTGTTGCAAAGTCTCCGTGGGATTCATTTGCCTTTTTACTGGATAGTTTTATTTTGAAGGTAATAAATAAACAGGGACGGAATTCATTGTACTGGCTCCTCCAGCTATAGTTAGCTATTACGAGCAGGACTTTACTAGCTGTGGTTTGCAGAAGACCCATCATACTTTAACGCATCCTGACATAAAGTTTGACATTGCATTGCGCTGGAGACCTCTGATGGAGGACCTTGAGGGCTTCCTGCTATATCTCCTCCAAAGGCAACAATGCATCGAACTCCAATAAACCAGGGGGTCCTCATGCCACTGTGTGCAATGCATCTGCTGAAAGGGGCCATTATCCTGCTTTTGGGGTAATGGGACATTTTCGTAAAACTGTCATGCCTGAATGGGCTTCCTCAGAAGAAAATCCTCCGTGGGACTTTTCACAAATCAGTCACCCCTGAATGCGCTGCAAAGCCTTTATAAGAGGACATGTTTTGTTTACATGTCGTGAGCTTGTCATATGTCAGCTTGACGACGACGATTCGAGACACTTCCTGCTTGTGGTGTGAACTCCTGAAAACAGCAGGTGTGGTTTGTATGTAAGCCTGTCCGTTCAGGGGGCAGATACTCACCACTGCTTCTGGTCTGCGTCGCAGTTGCAGAAGTACTTGGGGTCGGTGCAGTTGCGCTCGATCCCGCAGACACACTTCTGGATGCCAGGCCCCGAGCCACCCCAGTAGAAGTGCTTCTCATTGCCTTTCCCCACCCACCATGTGTACGGCGTTCCCTCTGCAAAACACAGCCCCCGCAGTACCGTCTCAATCCATGGCAACATGCACGCAACGCCAAAAGCTCATCTGCCACCTCCTGAACACATATCTCCAAACGGTGATGATGTCAACAGCTACATACAGTACTGTGCAAAAGAAAATGTGTAAACCTATTTATCTGGGTAGGAAGTGTGTGTTTTCTCAGAAAACAGCAAATTTAACATTAGAATAATTACAAACTGAAGGTAACACAATAAAAGCTGACAAGAATTTCTTCTGTCCTTCAAACAGAAATCATCTTGTTCTACGGCTAAAACTACACCACTTTGGATCCCAAACCTTTCACCAGGGACACCGCAGCTGTTCCATGTATTTTTTAAATATCATACCAGCTCAATGAATGAATTTATTAAATTTGTGTAATAACTCAATGAAGCACTGATTAGCCAAGCAAGGAGTTTTAGTGGTCAAGCCATTAAATGCATGGGTGTTTTGGGTGGTTGCTGCAAATACTGCGGTGACTTTAGGAGAGGTTTTGAAATGGCCAATCTGACACATCATATAGTTTTAAACCAACATGAAGGTCATTTCAACATCATTTTCTTTGACTTTTGCACAGTACTGTATACAATACTCACATATAGTAAATATCTATACACATATCTAAATAAACAGTGTTTATTATTTATGCAACCCAAACTAATTTGCATAGTCATTAAGAGAAACATACTTGTGAGGTTGCACGTCCAATTCCTGCAGGGCAACATCTGTTGCACCCAAAACAAGGTATTTAGCAGAAATTACATCTGCTGTGTAAACAGTTTAATCTGTATGAATAAATTCTAAGCAAATAAACAATTGCCGATTATAAAGTCACCAACTTTTGTACTTTCAGTGTCACTGCAAAAGATTAAGCAATATCAAGCACATATGAGTCCAAGTGCCATAACGAGAACCATAATGTATTTTTTATTTAAAATGTGATATTTCTAAAATAAAAAATGGCTGACAGACGCAAAACAATGTGCTATAAATATGAAGTCTGCACCAAGGTGAGGGCTGTATGATTTTTATATGAGATGCAATTATGTCTTGCCTTTGTTTGGTAACAGTAACAGTAACAGTATAATGGTTCCTGGGAGATGCAACATTCATGCATTAAGCATAGAAAGCAGGAACTCATACAAATGTAGCCATCTTGTCATTTTCAAATAAAAAAATAACAATATATCCACCATATCCTGTATACTCTTCTCACTATGACTTTAGAAAGAAAGAAAAAAAAAATATATATATATGTATATATATATATATATATATATATAGAGAGAGAGAGAGAGAGAGAGAGAGAGACAGACAGACAGACAGACACACACACACACAGACACACACACACACACACTTTATATCAGGGTTAGGCAACCCTGATCCTGGAGTGCTGGTACCCAGCAGGTTTTCCATCCTACCTGGTGATCAATCTCTGCCTGCGATCAGGTGTGGTTCATCAGAGACCAGATAGGATGAAAAACCTGCTGGATCCCTACCCCTGCTCTTTATGTACAGATATAAAGGATACTAAGGGTAAAAGACAGGGGATGAGCTGCCAGTCCTTTACAAGGCAAACACTGTTGTATAAGGGCAATTTAGGGACACTAATTCACTTTAGAGAATGTGCTTAGACTATCAGAGGAAACACACACCAGCATAGAAAGGACTTGCAAACTACATGCACAGAGCCTGCGGGGCGATAATTGGACCCACAACGCTGAAGGTGTAAGGCTACAGTGTTATCCACTGAACAGGACAGTTTCCTTCTTTCCTTTGAGAAAAAGTAGTGAATTTTGGAAGCCCTAAATCCATCGTTTTACAGTTCATTGTAGCTATTCTCTATGAGCTGTACCATCGTCTCATAGCCACCTATAATCCCCAAGCAAACATAATTACATCTCTCAAGATACACAAAGTTGATCTGCTCATAGAGAGATTTTGCAAATGTACCCTGAGGGGCTTTTAGCAAATCTGCGGTATGATCTAGAACACGGGTGTCAGACTCCAGTCCTGGGGGGCCGGAGCCCTGCACATTTTTAGGTTTCCCCTCGTTTAACTCACCTGATTCAACTTCTTGTGCTAATTACCACATAGTTGTTGAGCTGAATCATTTGTGGTGGAACAGGGAAAGAACTAAGCTACACAGGGCTCCGGCCCCCCAGGACTGCAGTTTGACACCCCTGATGTAGAAGAACTTGAAAGATTTGGGAGCTGGTCTATTTACAGGTTTATGGGCTTCTCTGTTCAACTGTGTACCTACTTGCAAGCAAAACTGTACAGATAAATATATGGCTTATCCTTATAACACCCAGAACAGGATGCCAGTCCATCACAGTGCAGACAGGCAATTTAGAAACATTAACGCACTCAAGCACATTTTTGGACTGCAGGAGGAAACCCATGTGAGTATGAGGAGAGTGCAGAACAGGGGCGGGATTCAAAGCTCCAACCCTCAAACCATTGAGCCGTCGTCAGGGACGGGTTTGCTGTTTCTGGGCCCCATTCAAAAATTTACTTTGGAATCCACCTGTCCCCCTCTCAGATATTTCAAAAATTAAATAAATAGCTAGTGAGTAGAGTCAGAAGATTGCAGCTAGCAAGCTGATTAGCAAAACAGTCTGCTTCAACCTCTCCTAAACAAGAAATGCATTTGTTATACAGTGTAGTGACCATTTGTAGCCAACAGGGGCCCTCAGAGGCCCCAAGCAAATTTGTGGTCTCAGTGACAGTAAACACTGTCGCTGGCCATGGTCCTGCACACTATATATACGTACGCTAGTGGCCAAAATTGTGGAAACACTTCCAATTTTTAGAGATTGCAGAACCTTATTCCAGTTACTTATTTAATCGTCCAGTGAATGATATTTGTAAACATTCTTTGATTGTATATAAACACCACCACCAATATTGTGCAGTAATTTTTAAAGCGTAATGCCGAAAATGCTTGTTGTTTCCCCAATTTTGGCCACTAATGTAGTATGGAAACCTTCTTCTAGCTGTCAAACTTTTTGGAGAAAAATGCATTTTTTAATTGTGTTACCGTTTTTTTCTTTTGTTGTGCAAATATACTTTTTAAGACTTTTGCAAAGTACTGTATATACATCTTACTCATCATTTCATGTTTAACATGTAAAACCTATCTTAGCCTAAAATGTGTGCACATGTATCCGCACACAACACATTCACCCATGAACAGAATACCATTCTTGCCAAAGAAATTCCCCGCCATTGCCCGAGGCAGACCTTGGGGGACAGAAAAAACATTACTACAAATTTCACTCGGGGACAACCTTACTTGGCCGTACAGCAAGAAAAAGGACCCACACAAGATTTACTGACACTGAGCTGCTGATGAAGTTATCTGCATCAAGATGATAGCAGCGGACTCGTTACTGGGTGGGGCAATAACGGCGATCGATGGGATCCACCACTTCAGGTCTGAAACATCCGTTATGCGAGCGATTAGAGGAGGCCGAGCCGGCCAACCTAGTGCGCAGCACCGCTGAAATCACAATCATTTTATGGTGGCTTGATACAAGTAGGATGGAGTGCAGACGCCAGGCAGTTAGCAAGGCCAACAGGAGCTGGAGGAACCCCACGTTTTGCTCATGTAACTCTGGTCAAGCACAATGGGTTACAAACAAGCAAAAAAAAAAACAAACAGTGCATGATATGGAGGGGGCGTAGGGTTGTAAACAGAGTCTGAATATGTCTTGACTGCTGGAAGGTCATTAGCTGGCTGGGGGGAGCCCCATCAGATCATTAGAGGCTCGGCTAAAGGGTCCTACGTGGTAGTAAGCCCCCGCAGGGTGAACAGGACATATCCGCCCAAGGAAGCAGGGAACACGGCAGCCTCGCTCCGCGGACTTCAGAAGACGCCGCGCATCATTAGGCGGTGCTCTTCCCGCTGACCGTGCATCACCTGCGTACTCCACAGTTAACTCAACGTATAACACACCGATCTACTCCCGGCAAACCCAGGTGCGTGCTAAATAACTCGAGGGACTACAGAGAAGAAAGAGCCTCTGTATTTTAAATTATAAACAGATTCCTCAGGGACACTTGACTTGATTTTCCTTTTGAGATCATTTTAGCATGAGACAAACTTGCCATTGTGCTGTCTGATAATTTATATTTGTGTCATCAACCGAAAAACACTATAAATAGACAATTGGAGTTTTCTGCTTAACCTCTTTATATCTGCTCATAAATTGCCTATTAGTCATTCAAAGAGAGCAGAACTGAAACCACCAGATATATTGTATTGCATGCATTTGTTCCATTACAGTCTACTTTCACATTAGTAAGAAAATGAAGTGGTCAAACTAATTATACAAGTATTACTTTCTTCAAAATATGATGGGGGATATGCATATGGAAACTGTTCTGGGATTTAAAGACAGACTTTTATCTCTTTAACTCTGTTGAGTAATTTTGGTCACACTGTGACGAACATTTGTTTTTATAACTTTTTTTCTTATTTTTCTTTTTTAGATTTTGTGAAATAACAATCTCACTTTGCATATGTCAGCTCTCCTTGGCTGATCTACTGGACCCAAACCTTGTTTCCACTGTGTGGAATAGTTTTTCTTTTGAAGGCTCCTTTATACCATTTCCTTCACACTTTTGATTGCTCTGTTATCCCACAGAACACATCTTTCAGTATTTATGAAAACTGCCCCACGTTGGTGGAGCAAACGAATGACAGAGCCTAGTGCCATGAATCGTGTGAGGGACAGAGCAGACATGGAGGGAGGTGGTGACCTTGATCTGCTGGGGAGGGAATCACCCTGGGGTTGGGGTAATCCTCCTGTCACATGTTCAATGCCAGACACTTGGGCTCCATATTTTGAGGCTTTCCTGATGACTTAATTTCCCTGCTTTTAGGAGCCGGAATGAGGCACCGATTGTCAAGCTACCTGCTTCTTGGGGGGGGTGATGACTGGAAGGGGGAAGGAGAGACAAAGAGAG